TAAAGTTTTTAGGCTCTCCTTGGTCTTCTATTTTTTTTCTCCCAGTATCTTCATTAAACACCACAGAATCCTATTGTTTGTCTTCTCTTGTTATTAAAAATAGGTCAAGTTCAGATGTTCTGGTTTCTTTTTTTTTAATATCTAATCCAAAATGAGAATTTTAACACATATTATGTATTGCATAAGCCTGTTTAGTCATTTGTTCTGAATAAAGAGTTTTCAGTTTTTCATATCCCTTTACCCAAAGCATGTTGCTTAATGGCAACTGTTATTTTAACTGTCAATAAAGTCATTGATGCAAATAGTTGCCCAAAGAATTGTTCCAGTACAATGTGGGCCTTTTAATACCACATCATACCAGAGCTGTGGTGAAGTAACAAGAGAGGTCGTGGACCACATGAATAGAATGGGAAATAGCTAACTTCACTGTCACCCTGAAAAAGCTGGGCATTGGGAGCCAGGATATATGCCCAGGTCCAAACTGTTCTTCTTCCTGTGGTTTGTACATGAGATCTTTTTTTTTTCCTGGATTTGTCATTTCTGACTTCAGTGCTACATTTTTTTTTTCTATGACACTGTTGTAATCCAACTAAACCACCTTCAGAAAGTTACCCTCTGGAATGATCTGATTTTTAATGGTTCTCCCTGAAGAGTAGGGCAGCTGTGCAATGCACATTTTCCTTCCTTACATAAATATTCCGTTCTAATGAATTTTCTAGAAAGTGAATGCTTACCTTGAGATAACAGGAGACTCTGGGATTCAGATCAGTCAACCCACCACAGATGGCAGACTGAGGAGGCAAGGAGGAGGGCAGAGGGAAGAACAGCATCTCCTGGAGTTTGTTCTCCCCAGAATTTTTGTCTCACCAGCCTCAATCTGCCAAGCCTCAATCCCGGACCTCCTTAGCCCAGGGCCCCTTTGATAGCACTGTCCCCACATCCTTGTCTTCCCCTCGCTACTGCCAAAGGGCCTCTATCAGCATCAGGAATGAAAATCTTGTGCCAAGTGACATCACAGGTACCAAGCTTCCACCTTCTCCCCTGTAATTCTCACCCCATGGTGTGATTAGACAAACAGGCTTTCCCTGCACACACACCCCACCTACTCACCCAGGTTGCCTTTTTGCTGATTTTCTTCAAGGGGGAAGTCATCCTGGACTACCACTACAGAGAAGAGACAGGGGTTGTTCTTGGAAAACAAAATTCTGTCCGAAAGAATGTCTAGAGGCAGCCCAAGGCTGCTGGAGAAAGCCCACTTCTTGAAGGGGCTGGAGGGGCTGAGGGTGAGGAAATGGTAAAGGACAATTCCCAATGTCTGGGCTCCGAGTAGAGCCTCTAGAAATATATTGTTTCGCCTTGATTTACATCAGCCTAAAATTTAACCCGAGGGTCAGAAATCCAGAAGAAATTGTACCAAGTCATTAACTCTATTTAGAAGTCATTTTCTGCTACTTTCACAAATACTTGCAACCAGGGCAAGAGAGAGCTATTCAATTTGGTGAGAGGGCTTTGCTGAAATGGTTGTGAAGTGATTCTATTTTATTAATAATCATTTAAAGAATATATAGTTACTTATTTTTATTAATTTGAAGATTTAGAAAATATTCTATGCCTATTTTTTTTGTAAAAGACACACATTTGGCCCTCCCTGGTGGCGCAGCGGGTTAAAGCACAGCACTAAGAAGCTAAAGCTAAAGCCACTCCACATGAGTTCGATCCTGCCTGCCTAGGAGGTGACCACATGGCGTGGCAGACCTCTCCAGACCTGGCCCACTGCTCCCCTCAGCAGTGTACTTCCTCGATCTGCCTGTTCTGCTCCCCACTCTGTCTCTGGTGAAGCCTCCCGCTGCTTCTGAGCCTCTGGCCTGTACCCCAGTTCTGTATGCGCAAATAAATAAATCTTTAAAAAAAATAACTTAAAAAAAAAGACACACATTTGTGATAGTTTGTTCCATTAATGATGAGTTTTTTTCTGGTTATGCAAAGTGAGACACTTATGAACAATAAACAAAATGGTTCCCATTTAAATTAAATAATTTTTTCCTAATTAATTTTCCCCCAATTGTTTTCAAGATACTAAAAAACAGCAACAAGCAGTGACCATTATTTACACATAAACCAAGTCTCTTAACCAAGGGTCAGAAAACAGTGGTTTGGGCACTAGTTACGCCATGAACACAGAGCGGCCTTGGGCATACCACTCAATCTGTGGGGTTTGCAGGACAGGGAGGGACGGCATCTGAGATTCCTTTCAGCGCTACCATGCTGTGATTTCATCCGTGGAAAGGGACACATTTGCACCACGCAATCTATAACCAGAGAACAAACCTCAGCCCACATTTTGACCCTTCCTTTCATTTCTCCTCACATTAAAAAAAGAGGATGATAACCACAAGGTGGGGGAAAGAAGCCCCAACTCTGTTTCCAGTCCTAAGACACCATCACACCAACATGCACGCAACAAAGGGGTGTGGCAATATGCACACTTGTCTCCCTACTACTGCAGTCAAGGAGGGCCTGGTACAAGTCCTCCTGTAAGTAAGGTCTGGCATCTAGAGAACACCCTGGGAACTGGCACAGAGAGCAGGCCCCTGACCCCTGACAGAGCCTTTTACTTCTAAAGGGGCTGGGAGCATGGGACACACCTAGTGGTCTCTGCCCACACACTGACCAGGTCACCTCTAAAAACCCGGATAATAAGTAACAAATAACTTAATTTCCCCATGGCTTAGATTCCTCACCAGTAAAATAGAAGACAAGAACTAAACCATCTTCCTAGATTGTTGGGAGGAACAGTTAACAGTAGGGTAAAACATCTAGAACAGTGCCTGACACAGAGTAAGAGCTCAATAATGCTAGTGTTCCTGATCACGTTACTACTACCTGTTTCCCCAGGAAGATCAGTCGTCCGAAAAAAGGTGGCTTGGTGTGGATTTGAAATCGTCCCTCAGTAGTTCCCAAAGGACAGATTCCAACCCGTTTCTACCTGCAAAGGGAAGTAACCTCGGTGCATACACAGATGATAAATATCCTGAAAGAAACGGGTGGTGGGAAGCTAATCTCGTGGATGAGGGGCTATTATGGAATCCTACCTCAAGTATTCAGGTAATCCGGAGAAACCCGGGAACTCTCCCCTGCGACGACCGGCCACTGAGGGTGTGGCCTCTGTGCTCCGGGCCCGCGCGGAGGGAATCCCCGCTCCAACTCAGGTCCTGCTCCTCAGGGCCCTGGAGCTAGCTTCGCTGAGGCCGGCAGCTCACTGCAGCAGGGGTGCCCCGGGAGGGGAAAGCCTGACTTCGGGATTCCTTCCTCAGCCGTGGAGAGTTCACGTTTCTTCTGGAAGGGTCTGGTCCAGGCGCATCGCCCAGAGAAGGGGACTGTGCTGAGTTCTGCTGGTGCTGGAAAGGAGGCGGCGTCTACAGGGTCACTGCAAGTTCGTGTCCCTAAAAGCCTGCACGTGGGAGATCTTAATGGGGAGGACTTTACAGGGTTCCGGAAACACGAAGCCCCCAAATTCTTCTATGGGGCCGGGAACCTGACTCTCAACCAGAGGAGCTCTAGGAGAGGGGCGGGCACAGCAGAGAGGAGTGGTCTGTAGGTCTTTCCTGGTTATTGGGCGCCCAGTGTATTTCCCCATTAGGATCAAAGCGAGGGTGGGGGGAAATGCACCTTCTCTGCAACAGCAGTCTAGATCCCCTCCCGCAAATGCTCTTCCAGTGCAGTTTGCAGGGGTGCAAAGAGCCTCGCCTACCGGCAATCGTCCAAACGTCTGGAACAACCAGCGAATCTACCAAGGGGCTGCAAGGTGGACAGATTCACTTCCGCTCCAAGCCCAGGGTCTGGGAGCCCGGTCTCCTCTCACCCTTTCCCACACCCCTTCGCCCAGCGTTTTCCGGCTCGCACTCCAGCTCTGCACTCCCAAACCTCAGGGACGCAGCCTGGGGCTCCGGGTTCCCTTGCTCCGCCCAGGTGCGATTTGCGGAGGGGCGGGGAGTGAGTGGGAAAGGTGGATCCCACTGCAGCCTCCGCCCCTGCGCTCTCCTCCAACAGGTTCAGACCCCTAGGAAATGCGCTCGCGCCTTCCCCTAGGGGCCGGGAATCCCGATCCCATTCTGTGGCTGTGGAGACAGCCTTAACTCCTGAGCACCCGGCCGGGAAGGTGGGCGTGAGTGTGCTGACTCCGCAGCGGAGGTGGAAGGGTGTAGAAAAGAGGGTGCAGGAGAAGGGAGGAGACAAGGTTCTCTCAGAGCCAAGAAAAGCATCTCCAGCCCATGATCTGACCACTCAGTCACCACCCAAGGCACCAACGCATTCAGAATCTCGCTGGGAAAATTGTTTCTCCGGTGGGGAAAGAACGCCCTAACCCAGACACCCAGAAGCCCTTTTAAGTCTCCCCCCCGCCCCCCTGGCCGGGCTTTCCAGGGCTACATTCCACCTCTCTGCGCCTCAGGTGCCCAGCCCCTCCCCCATCTATATTTACACGCCCAGGCCAGCGCCCTCTGCACTAGGATCCCTTTTACTCCTCATCAGGTGACAGCTCAGGGTTGGCTTCTTGCCCGCATCAGCAGAGCATTTTGACGGCACCCCCCCCCCACCAAACCAAATTTATCCCCCACCCTCAGCTTCCTCCTCAACACCCACCAAAAGCCTTTGCCTCCCCAAACCACTTCACCCACCCGGGTCTGCACTTGCCGTTCCCAGAGCGCACAGCCGCAAGCCACGCCAAGGGTTTCATTACCCAGCTGGGGGTGGCGTAGGCAAGCCCGGACCGACTCCCGCCGCGCTGGACACAGCCCCACGGGGCGGCAGCCTTCCCCCACGTCCCACCTCTCCTATTTCACCAGCAACATTTCCACCCAATCCCCACAAGCTGGACGAGCAATGCTGGGTGCTAAAGCCTCACCACTCTAGCGGAAGCTGCAGAGAGGGAGTGAAAAGTCGAAAGACAAGAACACAGAGAAATGGGCAGATGCATTCTGCAAGGGGAGGGAGGTGGGGGTTGGGGGAAGGGCGCACGCTAGAACCAGACGTGCAACTTGCAGGGCGTGAGGTGAGTACCGCGCTTGGAAGGGGGCATAAAAGTTTACAGACTATTGCACCGCACCAACTGAATGCGAGAAAAGAGGGTCGACTACCACGAGCCAGGAGGGTCTAAGGATCTGCGCCAACTGGACCAGGGAATTTTGACGAGGCTCAGAACTCGGGCCGTAGTTCTCTTCTACTTGTTCCTGGAGAGACGGCCTAGGCACCCGGGCAGGGACGGTATCACGCTTTTTCGAAAAGCAACAGGCGGCTGCACCTTACCTTGCGCCAATCCCGGACTGGGTGGCTGCTCCATCCTCGTAGCGCTGGGAGGAGGCGTTGGGTGCGCTGGCTCGGAGGTGTGCGCGCTGCCAGGGCTGCAGCAGCCGCTATCCCCACCTGGCGGCTACCCCGGCTGCCCACCTCCGGCGGGTGGGGCGGGCTGGTTCCCGGGTGGAGGCGGCGGCGTTGGTGCGCGGCGACCCCGGCGCGGGCCGCGGGCAGTGCGTGGCTGGGCAGGCGTCCTCCAGCGCTCCGCCGCGAGAGGGTGCGGCCCCGGGCGGCCTGACTAGGCACCGCTGGGTTCCACTGCTGCGGCTGCGGCTGCAGACCCTGCGCTGGGCCCGGGAGTCTTGTTGGAGGAGGAGGAGACAAAGACGCGAGGGAGGCGAGCGCTGCTCTCCCAGATGCAATCGGCTCAGTCACTAGAGGGGAATCGCTTCCAAATCCGGGCTGGGGAGGAGGGAGGAGGGGTGAGGAGGCCAAGGACCAGAAAAGCAGCAGGGAATGAACGCGAGCTCAGAGCCCAGCCACCTCCTCCCCGGCGCGGCCCTCTGGTCTCCCGGGTGGGGGGTCCGGAAAGGGGAGAGAGGGCGGGGGCCGAGCGCTAGCTGCGGGAGCAAAGAGTAGCTGAGGTCAGAGTATTAGCTCGCTCCGCCGCCCTCGCCTTCCTTCCTCACACCCCCTCGCACAGCTCCACTTTAAGGATGTTATGGCCCCATTTTTTCTCCTCTTTTTAACTACTGAGATCAGGACTGGGTGACGCCGCCAGGAGAAGAACGTGGTAATGGGTTCACTATGCTCTAATGGGGAAAAAGGCGGATGCTTAAACTCCTTTGGCCAATCGACTGTGTCCTGGGTGCCAAGCACTTTGTACTAGGTCGTCCTGGAGAGGAGGGAGAAATAGGTTCACTCAAAAAGATCTCCCGCAGTTCGTGGAATCCAGAGTCCTGGCGTTAAGTGCTGTCCTCCGATTCCTATCAGTCCAGTTTGCCCGAACAGACGGTGTTAGGAGAATTCAGTTCGCATTGCCTTCCTCTTTCAGGGATGCCGTTCTTCATGCAGTCGAAAGGGAGTCTGTGTGTCCCTTAGGAAAATGTGCGTGTTCGTTGAAAGCAAGTTACTGGTTCTAGTAATGTTCTGAAGTCATGATTTTAACTATGTGTCAGATCTACTCTCCAAAAACAACTTGAGCCAAAGGACAGCCTTCCAGTCTCTGCAAAGACCACCTATCTTCTACAACGCTTTTCCACCCCACTCCTCACACTTCACCAGGTAGAATTAATCTTTCCCTTCTCTTCACGGTCACACTTGTATTTGCTGGTGGAACTTACATATTTATGGATTTTTTTTTGGTAGATTACGATTGCTTCACTCACCTGAATTACATTTTTTCTTTTCCACTGTAACATTGAGTCTTATGTTAGATTAAATAGGTATTCAGTTGGAGGTGATTTTTGCCTCAACATAACTAAATCTGAGTTTTTCTAGGATTAAAGGCACTTGGGTGAGGAAACTTGCAAGAGTCTAGGGGAGGAAAAGGTACATACACACGTACGCAAGCCTCTCTGCCTGAGATGTATATTGATTTAATTCACTTTTGTTTCTAAGCAATTTTCCAGTCACCACCCCACCTCTAATTCCCACAGGCAAAGGAAATCAAGCTGTTGGACAACTGCATAGATTAAGAGAGGATAGTACCCGGTTGCGAACACCTGGAGGCAACCCAGTGCAGGGAGAGAGGACCTATGTCAAGTGTGCTGAGAGCTTGCCCAGATTTCTTCATTGTTAACCATGCACCCTGCTTGTGGATACATTTTAGAAGACTTTGAGCAGTGTTTCACTGCAGAAAAATAAGAAATGTACCTTGTAGGTTAAGGATACTTAAAGCCATTCTTTCTTTTCTGTCTTCATTTCTTATGAATTATGGGATGGATACCCCAGATCAGGGATGCTCTATTAAAAAGGTTCATCATGACCCTCCCTGGTGGCGCAGCCGGTTAAAGCACAGCACAAAGAAGCTTAAGCCACTTCGGCATGAGTTCCATCCCTGCCTGCCCTGGAGGAGATGCACATGGCGTGGCACTGACCTGCCCACTGCTCTCCTCAGCAGTGTACTTCGTCGATCTGCCTGTTCTGCACCCTACTCTGTCTCTGGTGAATCCTCTACCCTCCGCATCTCTGGCCTGTACCCCAGTTCTGTACGATTAAATAAATAAATCTTAAAAAAAAAAAAAAGGTTCAGGCTCTCCCTGGTGGCACAGCGGGTTAAAGCACAGCACTGAGAATCTAAAGCCACTTCCACATGAGTTCGATCCCCGCCAGCCCCGGAGGTGACCAGACCACATGGTGTGGCAGACCTCTCCTGACCCAGAGGTGTGGTAATGACAGGATTCACCAGAGACGGAATGGGGAGCAGAACAGGTAGATATCCTGAAATACACTGCTGAGGAGAGCAGTGGGTGAGACAGGAGAGCTCTGTCTCACCCTGTGGGATGGAACTTGTGCTGGAGGGGCTGCCTTGAGCTTCATGTTGCCGCACTTCAACACCTTGCTCCACCAGGAAGGGCCCTGTTTACTTGTTTTTTAAAGCGGAAATTTTAGGACCCAGACATGGGTACACATGAATGGCAGGTATGCCATTTGATATGATGTTTATGAAAGGAGTTTGGGCACAGCTATCAGAAGCATAAAACACTTGTATACCAGAGTTCCAGTGACCCTTCTAGAATTTCATCCTCAGAAAACGATTTACAGGATAACCTACAGGATATTCATTGCAGTATTATCTACACCAATGGGAAACTGAAACAATCAAAAAAACCTCAAATGTCAAAGAAGAGAGGAATGGTGAAATATTTTGGAAAACTAGAAATGGAGTGATTAGTCAGCTATTTAACTGTTGTGCAAGGGAATAATTGAATTTTTTCACAAATGACGGCTACAATATAATTTTTAAACACCATATGAGAGACAGAAGAGTAAAAATTAAAATCTGGAGTTGACAGGTCAGATTTGGATCCAGACATTTTACTCACTGCCAGCTCTGCGATCTGGATCTTCAATTCCTTGAGTAAACACTTGAGTTGATGCTATTTACTTCATTGAGTTGTGCTAACATGAAACAAAATTTGTGGAACACTTAGTACAGTGCCTGGTACATAGTAAAATCTCCATCTTTTCAAACAATCATTAATTGTATATAGATACAATCATTATGGAATAATACATTTTGAGACTTTTATATGTCTGTAGATATAGGTATGTGTGTAGATATATGTATGTGTGTGTGTGTGTATATATATATGTATACTTTTGTGTATATAAATGTATTTACTCTTGTCTAGAGTAGTATACTCTCTGGTATTAACCATTCTTATCTTTCACGAGTTACATAGTCACACCGTAGAGAAGTTCTTTTTTAATTCTCTTTCATCTGAATTTAAAAAAATAATTTCTAACGATTGACACAGGAAATCTCTAGACTTGGATGCTTTCTGCTCTAGTTGATTCATGTAATCATCAACAAGACTTGTTGATGATTGGTGTCAGCCATGCTATAAAAAGGACAAATGACAAGGCATGGAGTTTGTCACCTCGCATGTAAACTTAGATTTGTTTTGTAGCAACCAGAAGACAAGTCCAGCGCAGCAGAATATGCTGCTTCTCACAGGAGAGGTTGGTTGCTCTGCCTTATCTTGACAGCAAATAAGAGGAAAGAGGAGGTATCAGAAGCTATATTTGTGGCTTTTGATTAGTGAATTAGAAAAGGAAGCTTGGCATGGAAGGGTGTGAGATCCAAGGACCTTCACCTCCCCCGTGGCTGTGGTCCTCTGGGTCAGAGTGGAGCTTTTGTAAAGCTTGTTTTTATGTATTAGAAACATGATAAAAATTTAAAAGCAAATATCATTTTGTGGTGTTTTTCAGTGTACCTTTCTTTAGAATAAGGATACATCATTTAAAAATGGACAGGTTTCAGTAATTTTGAACATAAGGACATTTCCTTGAATTTCGAATTGTAGTCTCCTTTTGAAATGTTCTACATAAATGGAAATGCATTCCTCTGAGCTCAGGAGTTGAGCTTCTGTGATCTGAATAGTTGGCGTGCCTGAAACCCTGCTGTCTAGTGAGTGAAAAGGATCAAAGCAGTAAGATGTTAATATCATAAACCCTTTGTGGAAGTTCTTCCAGTTAACTATTCTTAAAAACAAACTACCCTAGAACTCCTTGGCTTAAAATAAAAACAATCTTTTATTAGTGTAAATCTAGAATTTGGACAACGTACTCCACGGAGGCTCACTTCTGGCCCATTCAGGGTCAGCTTAGGGACAGGGGACTCACAGCTGGAGGATTCATTTCCCAAGTTGCTCTCTCACATGCTGGCAGGCGGTTGGAGATGCTATTGATAGGAGTTGAGGTTCAGGAACCACCATTCATCTCCAGGTGGGCCCCCCCAATTTCTCACAGATTTCCTTACTTCCTGGCATTTGGAATTACAAAGAGAGTCCCAATGGGAAATAACCCTTCCCCATGATGAAAACCTGACCTTTTTATTATACAAGCAACTCAGTCTTTGAATGATATGATAAATTTTAATTTGGTCAAAGTAAATTAGAGATCTAGATAATCATTTAAATGATTTAGGCAAATGGGTAAATTTTTCTTCCATTTATTGAGATCATTGTATTAAGATTTAGAGGACTAGATGGGAATGTAAATTGGTGCAGCTGCTATGAGAAACAGTATGGAGGTTCCGCAAATAATTAAAAATAGAACTATCATCTGATAGTTCCATAGCAATTCCACTTCTGGGTATTTATCCAGAGGAAATGAAATTGCTATCTCAAAAAGATATCCACATTCTCATGGTCATTGCAGTGTTATTTACAGAAACCAAAAATGTGGAAACAACCTGCTTGCCCAATAGACGATCAAATAAAGAAAATGTGGCGTCCGTTTTTACTGTGCAGCATTAGCCAGCCACAAAGATGAAAATTCTGCCACTGTGAAGATGTGGATGGCCCTTGAGGGGCATTATGCTAAATGAAATGCACCAGATAGAGAAAGACGGATACATATGTGTATAAGACCAATTCATATGTAGAATTCAAAAAAGAAACAGAACTGATCTCATAGCTACAAAGAACAGGGGTGCTAGCCAGAGGCAGGGGTTGAAGAGCAGAAGAAATGAATTTATTATTTTAATAATGAAAATGACTACATATAGTGCAGATCAAATTCCTTATCATGAATTTCAAGGGCCTCTGCAATTTAACTTTTGCTGGTCCTTTTTCATAGCATCTTAAGCTTCCCGTGTTTATCTCTCTTGTCTGGGTCTAAGACTTGTATCAGAGCAAGCTGTTGATTGCTCAACTCCCCTTCCAGACTATGAGGTCCTCAAGGGCATAGAGTTTATTTCAATCAAGTTATGCCCCTACAACCTTCACTCCAGAGCCATCCATGCACTGGGTACTTGATACATGCCTATTGTGAATAATTCAATGTTCCTGCCTTTCCAACTCAATCATTCCGTCTCCAAAATGGCAATATTGCCCGTGAGTGGCTCCACAGGGGAGCCAATTAATTCTCTGAAACTGGAAAATGTTTTGAAGTTCCGCAGTACTTTGGAAGCACTCAAGAACAGTAATATGTGCAATAAAGACATTATTACTACTTTCCTGATGCATAAATGGTGAATAATCCCTTTTTAATGTGTTTGTTTTGAATATATGCAATGAATTTGCTGGAAGTGACGTGTCCTTGGCTCATTTCTTGTGTACTGAGTAAGACATGGTCTTCTCTAACAACTGCATTCTCTATCCATTTCTTCAGCTTTCAGAATTGCTATTTATTCATACCCCTGCCAGAACGGCACTCAAGAGTTGAGGGCCAGTCTTCTAAGGCTCCTATGTCATGACTGGCAGCGTGGGTACCAACGTGGGTATTATTCTAGGCATGCCCCTCTTATCCCCCAGTGGAAACTGTCATTTGACTACAGCGCTGAATGATCTAAAAGGGAACCCTGTTCAAAGCTGGACTATTGCAGTTCTCTTCCTGGGAATTTTGAACAAGAAAACTCAGAGGGTTGGGTTAGCCTCTGTGCTTAAACCTGCAAGATATAAGTCATAAGAGCCAAGAGCAAGCAAGGTAGCTTGTGCAGAAAACCACACTGTGGTGTGATCTGTAAAGCTGCAACACAGGGACAGACGTGAGCAGACCACAGGTCTGAGTTGCTGCTTCTGGATGCTTGGAGGCCCTGCTGTGTCTCTGCTTTATTCTACAACTTTTTATTCATCTTCTCTTTTCAATAAATGCACCATTTTGCTAAAACTAATTCAAATTCCATTGCAGTCATGTGGAACCAAAGGAATTCCAATGAATATAACACAGAAAAAAAGATTTAAGAAATGTTTCTTGGAGTATGTTTGATTAAAGGCTGGTTAGAGACCACTTGGGAATGTTTGATATGAAGCTTGCATTTTGAGATGTTAAAAGTCCAGTGAATTACATAAATTGAATCTTATTTTTCAAGGCAATGAAAATAGGACATTCTATGTAAAAATAAGATCCCATTGTTTGTGATGGATCAGAATGCAGGTTTCATAAACTAGAGATTTGGATTCTTTGCCTCTAGACCCCAATGACTAGAATAGGATTCTGCAACATAGTAGGGACCTAATAAATATTTATTAAATGAGTTTATGTATTTATCATGTCTCTTCTTCATAAAGGCTACTGTTTATTGATATTTTATATTATATACCAGTCCTGGTGCTAAGTAAGGGTCATCAAACATCCCCCATAATTTGTTATCAGGTCTCAGGAAAATGACAAGTATGGATTAAAAAAGTATGTTCTCAGAAAATAAAGAGTTTTCTCAAGAACACACAGGTTCTATATGTTAAGCTCAAGATTTGAACTCAAATTGATTGTTCTCTCTACCAAACCACAATTACATATTTACATTTCCTTAAATTTTTTCTGAGAAAATAAACTCAAAAAGGATTATTATCAAGGACTTCGTGAACACAGAATTCATCCTGATTTTATCAACAAGTAAGTTCCTGTGTCTCCAGTACTCACTAGGAATTAGATCCCTTCTGTTCTTCCCCTTGCCTTTATTGACACTCCTAGTTCCTGGAAGCTATTGGTGTTCCACTACACCCCATTGGCATCACCATTCTAAAGCCCCAGGTCCCAACTCTAAGGACCTGCTATTGTAAGTCAGACCCCTTAAGAGGTCTCCTGGAAGTGCTATGGAATTCCTGCCCCACCACCTTGATGAGAATTGGTGGGTAGATACGCCCAGACCAGGCCCCACTACTCACAGGGCATGTGTTCCCCTGTCTCTAAGAAGTCCCCAGTTTATATAATTATGCCTCCAATACTAACTTGCTCAAAAGTGAACATTTATTGACTTGCTTCCCTTCCATGTCTCATTTCCCTAGACCTTTATCATAACATGTCAAATAGATGCACTTAAACTCTCACTTTTATCTCAAGGATCTGCTCCTAGGGTAACGCAAGCTGTCATCTCTCTGATCCCTTCCTTTTAGTGCCTAAGGGAAAAGGCCAAACTATCTGATCAATAAGTTTAAATGACAAAACTAAGCAGTTTTCATTAAATCGATCTTCTATTTTGGACATAGCAAGTGTATAGTATGTGCATATTTAGATTTTTCTCTGCCATGTTTTCATTTGGCATCTTTCATTTAATGACTAAACGGATAAGTTAATTTAATTTGGGGGGTACTGTACTAAAATACTCTCTAGGTCCTAACAGATCTAAAATCATGTTCTTTAATCAACCTTATCAGTGATATAGTAGACGTTATAAATCCACATGATTTACAAAACCCAACAGGCGAAAACAACTCAAATATATGTCAACTGACAAACGGATAGACAAAACATGATATAGCCATATAGTGGAATCTTATTTTATCATTAAAAATAGTGAAATATTATTGCATACTATAATTTGGGTGGATCTTGAAAACTTGACAGCATATGAAGTGATCCAAAAGACCACATATTAAGTGATTCCATTCATGTGAAATGTCTAGGGGATTTTTAGTGACTAAGATCTGGGATAGGGTAGTAAGAAAGAAAGGGATAGCTAAAGGGTGTGGATGATCAAAATGTTCTAAAAGGCTGGGGTGGTAGTTTTCCATATCTGTCAATATAATGAAAAAAACACTGATAATTATGCTTAACTCAGTAAATTATCTGGCATGTAATTCAGGGAAATTAGCTAAAAACCATATGACCATGCTCTGTACTCTGTATAGCTCTTCTATAAATGAAAAGCTATTTCAAGACAAAGTTTATTAAACTCGGGTCTAAACTTGGAGAGGTTCAGCACTTCTTTGCCTTAGGCTGCCTACCTAGGTAGAAGAGCACCATCATACTTATAAAGAAGCTGTAAAGGAGAGCACCTACAGACGCAAGACAGAATGACCACTGCCTCTCAGCCATTCCATTTCCTCCTCATTTCCATCATTCTCCATGTCTCCCTGGCCCTTTCAGACATAAGAGAGAGCCTGGCAAAAATGTGGTCAGAGTTCCGGAAGTATAGCTCATATTCTTATTACTACAATTTAATAGGCATGATGAAACAACTCAGCTTGCAATGCCAAGGATTTGGGGGTGGAAGCAGAGCGACATCACCAACTGCTGCCAAAGCGGCCCTGCTCAACAATTAATTGTCCTTGTTTCTTTTGGATTCCATCATTGCTATTTGTGTCTGATGAAGATGGTGCCATTCTGCCAGACCCTTCTAAGCTGCGAGTCAGGATTTCCTCTCCTTCTGTAGAGAAGCCAGCACCCCCTTTCTGCTAGCTGGTCTGGAGTCAGTTCTGTATAATTATGGGGTTGATTTTCCTCTTTTGTATCAGTTTCCGCCACCCACTGGGGGTGTGAGAGGCTTGACAAGGGAGCTTTCCTATCACCCCAGTTTCATTGTGAGAAGCCCAGGGCATGGAGAATGCCCTTGTGGGGGTGCAGTCTGGAGTTTCAGTCCTTTTCCTAAACAAAAGGGACAAAGGAAGCATAGAGAAACCATATCATTCCCCAGGCTTCTGCGTTTTCTCTGCAAAATAGGAGGATGGCCTAAGTCATCTTGAAAGTTCCTCTCAGGCCTGACATTTTCTAAAACACAAGAATTTTCCTCAAGTTTGCTGACAAGTAGTTGCCAAACCCCCCAGGAGTGCTGACACATTAGCTAATATTATCTTTCATCTGCTTGCAGCGCCTTGAAGGGGAGATCACTAGGAGCAACTCGTGTTTACTCTCAAAAAGGCTTGGAGAACACAGGATTGCTAAGGCAGAGGCGAGGTCTCCTCCTGAGGGGTGCTGTCCGTCTGTTATGACGCTGAAACAGATGCAGAGAAACCCACCACAGACCAGTGTCAGTGCCTGGAAGATGACTCTTACGTAAGTGCAATTTTACTTTCTCCGTTAATCTTTGCTGAGGTAATTGTCTTCATTCTATTTTCAGCGTGTTGTTGGCAATGCTGTATGGCCTACTGACAGTTGTTTAATAAAAATAGAGATCGTACTCCAGAGGAAAAGTGCAATATTCACACGTGGCTAATAATGTTCTGCTTCTATGAGCCACGGAGCCCAGATCCTCAAGAGTTAACAGAGAAGTTCTTGAGAGTGAGTTTTATCATGAATGGCGGCTGAGTTAACTTTATAGGTGGTTGTATATGTCTGCACACATCTCTGTCCTCAAGCAGCCAGCAACAATTTGGGCAAAGGGGCATCTGTTCAAAAGTGAAGGAACCCGGAAGTCACATTTTTCTCTTTACTCACTATGTATCACCTTTACCCTCCATCTTAACCACTAAATAGGAGCCTCCCTGGTGGTGCAACGGGTTGGAATGCAGCATTGCAAGCTGGCTGCAGCCACTTCAGTGCAGGTTCAATCCCTAGCCCCAGAGGTGACCCATGTGGCACAGCAGATCTCTCCTGTCTTGTCCACTGCTCCCCTCAGCAGGATACGTTGTCGACCTGTCTTATCTGCTTCCCACTCTGTTTCTGGTGAGTCCTCTCAACGTCCAGCACCTCTGGCCTGTACCCCAGTTATGTAAGCATAAATAAACGAATCTTTAAAGAACAAAACTTAAACCACTAAATAGAACCAAGCTTACAGGAGGCCTAGGGTTAAGACTCAGCATTATCACAATATCACTACTGTGGCCTGAGTGGGATCCCAGCCAGGGAGCTGACCATATGGCCCAGATCTCGCCTGTCTCACCTGCTGCTCCACTCGGCAGTGTATTTCTTTCAATCTGTCTGTTCTGTTTCCCACTCTGCCTCTGATGAATCTTCATATCCCCATACCTCTGTCCTGCACCCCAATACTTCCACGCAAAAATAAATAAAACCTTTAAAAAAATAAAAAAGAGGCCCTCCCTGGTGGCGCAGCGGGTTAAAGCACTGCACCAAGAAGCTGAAACCACTTCCGCATAAGTTCGATTCCCGCCTGCCCCGGAGGAGACCACATGGTGTGGCAGACCTCTCCTGACCCGCCCGCTGCTCCCCTCAGCAGTGTACTTCATCGATCTGCCTGTTCTGCTCCCCACTCTGTCTCTGGTGAATCCTCTCACTGCACCTGCACCTCTGACATGTACCCCACCTCTTTATGCATAAATATAAATCTTTAAAAAAATAAAAAAGAACCAAGCTTACCTTGTACATCTTTCTCTCAAGGTCCAAACTATATCAGTTCCAGCTCCCCAATGCTGGCTTGACCCTGAATATTATCACTTCTCACCTGAGTACTGTGAAGACATCCACAAAGGCCTGCTGGCCCCCAGTCTTCTCTCACCCTCCCTACTACTTTGCAAGTTTGGTCATTGAACCAACTATATCAACATAACCTGGAACTTGTTAAAACTGCAGAACCTTGGATACTATCCCAGAAATACTGAATCAGAATATGCATTTTAACAAGATCTCCAATACCAGTGTAAGTCACTTTTAATTAGGTATTCTGTTACTTGCAGTTGCAAGCATCTTAATTAATATACTCACTATACAAGGTTGCTTTTGTAACTATAATTAATTATATTTTCTTCTATAATATTTGACTATCCCTTGTATTACATTATGAATTTTATTTTGACATGCATATATAGTAGTTAGAAATATCCATGGCAGTCTGACCTGAATAATTTCATCAATTCCTTAAGAGTAGGCCCGATGCTCTCTTGACCTTGGTATTTCCTTTCTGCTTAGCATTGAGACCCATGAGCAGAATTCAAATATATTTTTTTAAGATTTATTTATTCATACAGAATTGGGGTACAGGCCAGAGATGTGGTGGGTGAGAGGATTCACCAGAGCCAGAGCGGGGAGCAGAACAGGCAGATCAACGAAGTACACTGCTGAGGGGAGCAGCGGGCAGGTCAGGAGAGGTCTGCCATGCCATGTGGACCTCCTCCCAGGCAGGAGGGGATCAAACTCATGTGGAAGTGGCTTTAGTTTCTTAGTGCTGTGCTTTAACTCACTGCGCCACCAGGGAGGGCCCAGAATTCAAATATTTTTGAGTATTCTTTCATTGAACAAAAGAATAAGAGAAATTATTCTTCTTCTACTGTTCTTCTGACCAAAGAAAATTTTAGAACCTCTAATTCATGTATATGATGGATTCTGAGTTGTGCTCATGATCTGCCTTGGGCTGTCATGTGCTCTGTTTTCTTATTCAACCACTTTTCCAGGTAGAGCCCTGCTCAACAAAACACTTCAAAGGCAAATTCTCAATGCACTTGGCCTCAACATCATGGTCCACATCACTGCTATCTTCCTAAAGCTGACTTGCCTTTTTGTTACTGGAATAATGAGTCAGCTCAAGGTTGCCCTGTCAAAGTCACTAGATCTAGTCCTCTTGGGACCGCTCTATCCATATAGGTGCTTCATTAAAAGCAACTGATGCCAAAACCACCATTTTTTTGGCATCAAGCACTGAGTACTGAATATGGCCAGAAAGGAAATCCCTGGCCTACTAGAATTCAGGAAAAGCCAAAAAGGGGCAGCACGCCCAGCTGACTCTGCTTTCTTTCAAAGGCTCTGGCAGTGGCCAAGCTTAGAGCAGCTAGAATGCTGGACTAAATGTAGAAAATTGATTTATACTTTTTATTAAATAAAAAGCATCCATAAATTTCACATAGTAGAAACTCTTCCTATAGGCCAGCCAAATAAAGGACATAAACACACACAGGATAACTTTTAGTTATTTTACAACACACAAGTATCAATGTGGTTTGACTTTCTGTTTCCCCCATGAGTATGCAAATACAGCTGCATTGTCCCCCATAAATCTGAGCTCTCCTTCTCCTGGCAAAGTAGGTGTTGTATGTCTGGTGAGCAAAGCCCAAAACCTCAAATGAGGAAGGCAGGTGATAGGTGCATTTATCCTTGTGATAATGACCATTTCTCATCTCAAATTCTGGGTAAATAAAGAAGTCATGCAAATAATGTTTACAAAATACCTGGGAGTTTGTGCAAGAGATTTCAGAAGAGGTTGCTACTAAATCTCTCTGTCTGCTTTGACAATTTCATCTGTTTATCAACAGTTCTAATTGGGCAAAAGAGCAGATGTGATGAAGCAAAATAATCCTTAGCAGTGTCTGGCATTATTCAATATTGCCAGGCAAAAGCTAAACTTCATTGAACCAAATTGTCCAATAAGACCCGCAAAAAATCCACACATGGACAGCTGTGGTTTATAAATCCTCAATTGTCCTCTGCAAACAGAGAAATTGCTGAAGTTATTTTAGTATCTGGGGATGTCTATTAAATTGTGCCTGTTCAAAGTTAGCGCCTACATTGACAAAATCAGTCCTATCATTGGTGGGGGCATTTTTTTTCTCTCCCAGAAGAAAAATTAACTGTGTGTGTGTGTGTGTGTGTGTGTATTAGTAAGATATTTTAAATTTGAAATTCAGTGGTTCAATTCAATTTTCTATCCCTTCTGTCTGTTCTCTATTCAGCAGCCCTGTGTAAACCTGATCATATCGCTTGCTTTATATAAAGCTTAGTCTTCCCCTGGGACTAACTCCCTATCACAGTGTGTTAGTAGAAATAAGTGGGACATACCTTTGGTCACAGAGTCATAAGAACTGAGGTGCTACTAGCATTTAGGACCTGCAGACAGTGGAAGTCAATTGTTCTGGACTAGGAGGGAGAAAGAAGTGACTTGATCACTGAGCACCTCCAGTAAGTAAAAACAGTATTCTCCCCATTTATCCCACCTTCCATCTCACTCCCTGGACCGCAGACAGCAACCTTTGTGTCAACTGAACCCATCAAGTGTGTTCCAGTCTTAAGGATTTGGCACAAGTGGCCCCTAGGGAAGAAAAGCTCTTCCCAAAATATCCACAAGCCTTGTTCCCTTACTTTATTCTAGTCTTGGCAAGATGGTCATCTCCTCTGAGAAATATTATGTCACAATCTTAAAATAAATCATCATTCTCTTTCATTGAGGTGAGGTATGATTCTATGGAATGCTTATTAATTTTGTTTAGCTTTATCTGATACTATAATATGTATATTTATCAGGGTAGTATGTATATTTATCAGTCTGTTCCTTATGTGTTCCTGTTGAAAAGTGAGTACCAAGAGAGGAGTTTCATTTGTCTTGCCTAGCTTTGTGTATTCAGTGCCTAGAACAGTGCCAGATACACAGATGGTATTAGTCTAAAACATGAGAAATGAATAAATGAGTGCATATTTTTTCACTGAGACAAAAAATATACTTTTGGAAATGTGTGGTCAGAGTAGAAAGAAAATCATAAATTTCCCTTTAATTTGATGCCAGTATATTAAAAGACTGAACATTACTGGAAAAAAAAAATCTTGCAATGACTACTTGCAAATTATACTTAGGAGATTGTCCTCAATGCTACTTTAATTATTTGATGACCTTCTGTCTTTTGGGGCCAAACAATATATGTGGGCAATACAATGTCTCAAGACCAACAGGAACCATGGAAGAAAAAGGAGGCTCTATTAGATCTATTCACATAAGATATAATTAATGATCATATTACAGAATACAAAGTGTCATGGGCTGCTTTGTGCTGACAATCTTTAAAAGGGTAAGTTAATCGGGATGGGGAAGTAAGAAAAATTCCTCCCCATTAACTTTGATGGGAGCTGGGTGTCTGACAAAACTGCAATTGCCTTGAGGTCTGGGTTTAGGCCAAGGAGACAAACTGTTCCTCTCAGGAAAAGTTTGAATTTGGAGTGACAGGCTCCCAATAGTTCTGTGATCAGCAGGCAGAATGTGGTGTCCTCTCTGACCCTGCATTTCTGAGTTCTGATGGCCCCTTGCATCTCCTTCGGCCCCCTGGGAAAGAACACCAGGGGTGTGGCAGAGTAAGGAGCCTGCAGGACTCATGGTCACTTGGACTGGTTGACTCCTTGCA